AGCCTCGCACCGCCGGCTGCTCGCCTCCCGACCGGCCCCGGAGCGCTGCGAGCGGCCGCGGGGAACTGGCTTGGGGACCGAATGTCTCTGCAGACGCAGCTCTCAGGAGTCTGGCTTCCCCAAGTGGCAGCGCCGGGAATCTGATTGCAACCTCGAACTCCGCGTCCGCTGCTCTGGCACAGGACGGGCCGCAGCGTCACATATTCTACCTCTCCACCCCCACACACCCACCAACCTCTCGTGCACCCGACTCTCCTCCCTTCCTCTGCGCCGCCCCCTACTCGCCAGGGCTTTTCTGGGGCTGGCCTCCGAGTGGGGAGATTCGGCCTCAGCACGCAAGCGCGCGCCATCAGGCCCCCCGGGGAGCAGGGCTGAGTCCCGGGTCGTAGAGGCTGGAGGGGGCGGCTGTGACCTGGGCAGCTCTAGAGGTTCAACTCTCCCGCCTTTCCCCAAAGGTCGCCCCCTCATAAACCCTGCGCCATTCAAACCACGTTTAGCATTTCTCCACTCTGCGGAGCTTTTGCTGTGCAATCAGCAGTGACTCAACTTTTTAAAGTTTAAATGCAACTCTCTCCCCCATTGTTTTTCCTTGCCAGCGTTTCAAAGCGAAGAAACTCTATTTCCCATAAAAAGGCAGAGGGATAGAAAGCCAGGAGGACTCTGTGTCAGAACTGGTTTTGAAACTCTCTGATCATTCAAAAAAAACCTCAAATTGAAGAGAAAGCCTCTTTTCTTATAGCTTGACCCTCCCGGAGGTTTTCAAAGGTTGTGAATTGTCCTGCCGGAGATTGGCCCTTTTTCAGCACCTGATGAATTTTCAGCAACTGGTGAATTAGTAGCGCCTGCCTTTGAGTTGCCCAGAAAAACCAAACCCTCTGGTAGAGTCTATTCCGATTCATGGAGACCTTATAAGGGTAGTGTAGAGCTGCCCATGGGGTTTTCAAGGTTATAAATCTTTAAGGAGGGACACTGCCACGCTTAGAAGCTGGATTCCAACCTCTGATGTTTGGTTAACGGTCCAGTGGTTTAACCACTGTGCTACCAGGGCTCCTCCCATGGGGAGAAAACTGCTAAAATTAAGGAACACAGAAGGAAATTGTTTACCAACAAAAGTAGAGGTGCAGGTGTAGAACATAATTGGCTTGATAAGAGGAAGAAGTCTTCTTGTACGATGCTTATGTGAATTACACAAAATGGAAAGAGAAAGATGGATTTCAAATCCTTATTTCCACAGAGGTCTGAAAGCTTAGTGGTAAGGAATTGCGCTGCCACCCAAAGGCAGGGGACTGGAATCTACCAGGAGTAAGACGAGCAGTCTCCTCCCATGCAATTTACTGCATCTGAAAATCTGCTGTAGGGTCAGCTGTGAGTGGATTCTGACCGGACTGTACATAACAACAATAGCATCTCCATAGAAGTGTCTTAATGTACTCCTGGGCTCCAGTCGTTCTTGGTGTTCTTGTTAGGTACCAGGATGTTGTCTCTAATTCGTAGCAGCCCTGCATAGGATACCCTGAAACACTACTCAATCCTGTGACATTCTCAGTCACTCTATAGGATTTTCCTCTCACTTGCTGATGCCCAAATTTACCAAACAGGAGGTCTTTCTCTAGAGACTGATGACTCCTGATAATTGTCCAGCCAGAGATTGGCCCTTTTTCAGCACCTGATGTTTTGCAGTTCTTGGAGAGAGGGTACTTTTCTAGAAAATCACAAAGGCAAAATGTAAGAATATTGTTGCTTTTGTGTTTGTTATTTTCAGTAAACTATAACACGTAATAAAGATATGAGATCTGAAGTAATGTAAATTTTTTTAAAAAAAGAAAAGAGGAGGGATAAAATTAAAGACATGAACTCTGGTGGCTTAGTGGTAAGAAATTGCACTGCAGTGCAAAGGTACTCAAGTTTGAATACACCAGCTGCTCTGCAGGAGAAAGATGGACAATCTCCTCTGGGCAATTTACTGCTTCTGAAAACCTGCTGGAAAGTCAGCTATGGGTTGGGTCACTTCTGACTGTAAAGAACAAAGACATGGTCTTTGTTTTTCACAAAAGTGAAAGACCCTCTAAAGATGGTTTGACACGAAGAGTAGGCTCCAGCATATTAGAGATTGTGAGGATGGCACAGGATAAGGGCAATATTCAGATATGTTGTTCATAGATTGATATGAGTCAGTATAAGGTAAAAAAGGTGCAGAGAACCAGGCAAAGTGAAACAAAAGAGTTTATTAGTGCCTCTGAGGCAGATTTACTGTCTGAGGCCAGAGAGAGGCAGGGTCAGGCAGCAAAGTTGTAAATGAAGAAATTACAGGCCAAACTTTTTAAGTAAGGGTTGTGGGTAGGGTTGTTAGCCCAGTGGTCAGTCCTTGGTGGAAGGTGATGATTGGATGCCCTTTGTCAGTTCCCGAATATGGAACCGCTCAGTCAAGCAAGATGTGGTAGGTGGTCGTGCTCTTTTCTGATTTGCCACAGTCGTCTTACACCAGGCAGATTTAAATGTCTCTCAGAAGGTGTAGTCAGTGTAGAATGTTGCCCACCTCCCAGGTGAAATCTACAAATAATAACAGCAGCTCTTTGGAACCTACCAATAACAACAGCAGCAACAGATGATTACCAAAATAAAATACCCAGAAAACTTGGATATAGCAAGCTGTTGTGTTCTAACACACCCATTGCTGACCCTCCTTCTGGTTTTCAGAGGCAGTGAGTTAATTGCTCAGGAGATTGCCCATCCTTCTCCCATGGAGCAGCTGGTGGATTTGAACTGCTGGCCTTTGAGATTGGGGTGCAGCTTCTTGCCACTAGACCGTGTGTGCAAAGCATTGTAGTAATTGTAAAGGAGTTGCCCAACCAGGTGTATCATCTTACTTATGAAGGGAAATAATATACAAATACCTGTACCATGTAACAAGACAGAAGTCAGAAGAAATGCACTGTTGATGCTTTCTCCCTGAGAATTTCTGTGGGTGCCCTAGGGAATGCTTACCAAAACTGTTCTCTCAGCAGGTGCACTTACTAAAAAATGAAGTAGATTTGCATAAGCCTTGGCTTCTGTGTCACAGATAGCAAGGATTCTAAGAACAAAGGGATAAGATCTAAGTAAAAAAGTTTTTAACAGCAGCACTCAGAAATTTTTAGAACAGCTACCTGAAGCCAAATAATTTGTGTGCTAATGAAACAAGGATTTTGTAGATCCTTCCTTCCTTCCTATTCAACAAACACATTTTCCATCTATTTGTAAATTGATTTCCTCTTTTTTGGGGGGGGCTTTGTATGTATTGTTCTTTGAAACACCTTTGTACCTATTTAATATCTTACTGATTCCCTCTTTAAATAATAAAATCTTTGACACATCTTCACTTTTTATCTGTGACAGACATAATTTTAAATATGTATACACATACACCACCCCCACCCCCGTGGAATTGATGCACACCGTGATTGGAAGACCAATGCCTGCAATTTTTCACATGTATCTGAGCTGATTACACAAATATAAATGGTATAAAACTTTTCTTAAATTACCATCTACTAGTTAAGAAGAGCTTGTAAAAAATTAAAACACTTCACTAAAGAAGTGTTCAATGGAAACCCAAGATCTCTATAAACTTTAATTAAAATCTCAATTTAAAAAAATTTTAAAAAGAAGCATTCAGAATCAGAGAGGTTTCACTATCTAGTGAATTTTAACAAGCAATAAAAGAATTGACACCACTCCCTAAAAAACCATAAAAAACTAGATGGGAAGGAAACATTTTCGAAATCATTTTATTAGATCATTATTACATTGATACCAAAACTAAATTAAGACATTACAGCATATAAATAAAACTACTGGCCAATGTTCTTTATGAATATAGATGAAAGGACTAGGCGTGTGCAAACAATTTGCAAATAACTGCTATCTAAGATCCATCTACTCTGTGGAAAGAAGGCTTAGTGAATTGCTCCCATAAAGATTGTTGTTGATGTTGTTAGGTGCCATCTAGTTGTCTACAACTCATAAAGACCCTATAAACAATCTATCTGAACCCTGCCCAGATATATACTATCTTCATTATCTCTGATATACTTGAGCCCATTGATACTGTCACTGTGTCAATCCATCTTGTTGAGGATCTACTTCTCTTTCCTTGACCCTCCCCCTCTCCTAGCATGATGTCTTTTTCCAAGGACTGGCCCCTCCTAACAATATGACTTGTTGTTATTGTTATATATTGTTGAGTCTCCTGTGATCCATAGCGATCCTATGTACAGCAGCTCTGAACCGTGCCCTGTTCTGAGCCAGTCTCACTAATTCCTATACACTAACCCCCATTGCCCCAGTCACTGTATCAATCCTTCTCATCTGGGGTATTCCTCTCTTGTGCTGTCCCTCCATCTTTCTGAGCATAATGTCTTTTTCCAAGGAACTGTCTCTCCTGGCCAAATGCCTAAAGTATGTGAAATGGAGCTTCAAACAGGACTGTAGAGAACGCTTTTTCTAAGACGTATTTGTTCTTTTGACAGCCCATAAGATGTTCAGTACTCTTCTTCAGCACCACAACAAAAAGGGCATTTATTCTTCTTCTGTCATCTTTATTCTTTGACCGGCTTTCAGATGCATAACAAGTGATTGAAAAGACCATGGCCTGGATCAGGTGCACCTTAGTCTTTAAACCGACACCCTTAACTCTTTAGTACTTTGGAGAGGTACTTGACAGCAGATTTTCCCAATGCAATACGTCTTTTGATTTCTTGACTGCTGGTACCAAGAGTGTGGATTGTGGAGATAAAGACATTGTCAAGTTCAATCTTTTTGCTGTCTAGAAGTCATTCTATTCTGTACCACTTTGGATTTCCATGAGTCAGAAAAGACTCAAAGACAACAGGTTTTGGGTTTCTGGTTTATAGACACAAACATTTTCAATAAAATACTAGCAGACACAAAAAAGATATAAAAAGATAGATACACCATAACCAAGTTGAATTTATCTCTGAAATATAAGATTTGCTCGATATAGAAACAAATTAAATATTACATTAATAAAAGGATTCAAATTATTACCTCAAATGACACATACAAGGAAATAACTTGTGAAAATTTAGGGCCCTTCATAGTTTAAGAAAAAAACAAAAACAAAACAAAAAAGCAAAATAGCATATTAGGAATTCAAGGGCACAATTTAACCCTAGTAAAGGACCTCTACATCAAACTCACAGCTAACATCATTTTTAATGGTTAAAAAAATGAGTTTTCTTCCTAAGAAAAAGAAGACGACAAGAATGTTCACTGGTGGGAACAATCAGGCTAGGAAATAAAATAGAGACACAAAGATTGTATATAAAGAAGCAAAATACATGATCAATAT